AAAAAAAAAAAAAAAAAAATACTATCCAGGGCTGGGTGTGGCGGTGTATGCCTATAATCCCTGCACTCAGTAGGCTGAGGCAAGAGGACAGCTGAGCTCGAGACCAGCCTAGACTACAAAGTGACCTCAAGGCCAGCCTAGATTACATAGTAAGACCCTGTTTCAAAAAGAAAGAAAAGCAAAGCAAAGGAAAATGAAAATTCACTACAACAACCCACCACCAGATTAGAGCTGGCAGAGGTGAAAAAAATGAGAACTTTAAGCCAGATCAATAGGGCAGGGGATGTAACTTAGTGGCACAGCAATTGCCTCATATGTACAAGGTCCTAGGTTTAATCCCTGGCACTTAAAGAAGAAAAAAGAAAAAAGGTTATATAATAATTACATAATCTGAAGATAAGAAGTGAAAAAAATACTGAAAAAAATGAACTGGGCTAGAGACCTGTGGGATACTGTCAAGCACAACTTATGCACAGTGGGTTGCATAGGGGAGGAGAAAGAGAAAATACTTTAAAAGAAATAACCTTGCACAGAAATAGACTGAAACTGAAGAATGGCATATATGCTCAATACTTTCATTTCATCTGGTAATATATGTTAAAGGACTTTCTGTTCATGAATTTTAATATTTTAAAAATCTTTACTTAAAGGGGAAAAAGTTTCTTCCTACTTTTTAGTGATACTGTGATATATCAGGTATGAAAATAGAGCTAATGATGCTTTTTCTAATTTTATCTTGATTTTTCTGACAGGTTGAGATGACACATTATAATACATGTGTAACCTATTGTTAACTTTGTGGTTTAAAAATGTTTATTAAATCCAATTCTTTAGTAGACTAAATCTTTTGTGTCTGGTGTATTCAATATACTTTGATGTCTAAAAGAAAAATATTTGTTAAAATAGTCTTTGAGTTTCATCCTGTGGGACCTATTGTTCTTTGGTTTTTGTTTTTAACTTTCCATCCCAGTTTCTAACTTTGCACGTACTAGTCCTCTAGAAATATGCACATTAAACTGAAACAATTTGGTGGGAGGAATTCTGCACAGAGCTTGTTTTCCAAAGAACAGTACTGTTCAGAGGAACAAAACTATAAACTTCCCTAAGCGTACTATGAAGCACAGTCCTCAACCCAGCAATGTTTGAAAGTGAGGCCAAGAGAAGTGGCAGGTTAATGATGGCACTAACCTTATTAATGGGTTAATTCAATAATGCACTGACAGCTGAATGGACTAGACCGATGTGGGGTCTAGCTGGAAAAGCAGGTCACTGAGGGTACACTTTTGAAGGGTATATCATCTTCCCAGTTCCTCTCTCTCTGGCTTTCTTCCTACCTTGCCTGCTTCCTGGCTGCCATAACGTGCGCAGCCTTCTTTTACATCCTTCTGCCATAATGTTTCAGGCTTGGAGCCACCTGAACATGGACTGCAATCTTTGAAACCATAGCCAAAACAAACCTTTCCCCTCTAAGTTAGTTTCCCAGGTATTTATTTGGCCACAGTGATGAAAAGCTGAATAACAAAATAGTTAGTCAATGACATAACAAGAAAAAACAGAAGCCAGTATCTTTCATGAATATAGATGGGATTGCTTTAAACAAGAGAACATAAACTTTGTGAGATCTTGACTATGGTGATGATTTCACAAGTACACTTATGTCAAATTTATAAAATTATATACTTTATGTGCAGCTTAGTGTACATATGCATATCAATTCTAAATCATTAAAGCCATTCACAAGCCATATATGTAAACACAACCAAAAATAAGTTAATAGCTCAAGAGACAATTCTTAAAATGCTAGTTTCAAAATTGCTAAAATACAAGGCCTACCAGGTTTAGAAAACTGATATTATTTGCACCACAGAGTATCCTGGGCAATGGCTGCATGCCTGGAATATCTTTGTGCCTCTTATGTGATGTTCAGTAGGCTATCCAATCTTACCAACCCTCCCCAGATGACAGTTGGAAGAAAATAAGGCTGGATGCTGTGAAACCAGCTAGCAGATAACACTATCTATAATATATGAGGGAGGTGCGCATGGTGGCAGGCTAATGCTTTTCTTGAAACAATTCAAAGATTGGACACAAGTTCAGTAAGTGGAAGACACAGAAAACCAGATCCCAGATGATATCATGAATTTGATAATAATCAGTGTCTTCCAAAAAGCCAGGAGCTTTCCTCTCAAGTAAATTTTCCATACCTGGACTTACAGTGTATCTTCCTCTTTATGAGGCATCTCTACCACCCCTGAACAGGCATAACAGGTCACCTGCATTATGAGATTTTGGCAAGAACTCTAAGGGTCTCTTTCAACTCCAAGACCCTATAAGCTGTCAGGAAGTTCAATACTAATCTACAATGAGTATTCAGTAATTCATAAGCACTTGCCTCCATTTCCCTCAAATCAACAGAGGACTAATAACTGAAGCATAAAGATTATGTGGCTCTCTACATATTTGTTACCGCATCTGAAAACTGCACAATTCAATTACAAAAAAATCACCAGTTTCACTTTTAACTGTATTATCAACTTAGTATCATATAGAATAGGTGGGAATTTGTTGCTTAAACCAAATAAGCTCCCTTCTCTCCCAGGAGAGTTGGTATTCCCAGCAATTCTGAATCCCCTTGGTAACACACAGGTTTGGAAGGGTCAGGAGATGCCTTCACAGAGGCATGGACCAGGGAACTAAGGAACACAACATTCCCTGCAGCTTTTATGCCTCCCAGCCTCCTCTGTTTCCCACCTCCCTCAAAATAAGGCATGCACAGCTGTTCCAGGGCTGCTGACTGACTTACAACATGGAAAAGTGTTGTGAATCAAAGTTTTTTCTTCAGCATAGTACTTCATAAGGTTACAATAAAACCATGGCCTTTTAGTACAGAGCCTCTCTCATCAACTCCTGCCTTTTGCAACTCTGCCCTGTACCCCCCACACACTCACAGAACCAGGTTCAAACACACTACTGAAATTACATGAAAATTAAAACTTTATTATAACTCAATCAAGTCATTCTCAACTTTGATACATAGTTAACTATGTTTTATGCTAAACTGTCAACTTACTTAACAGTTCATATAAACCTCCCCCTTTTTGGTTGTAATGGGACTGAACCCAGAGACACACATGCCAGGCAAATGCTGTACCACTGGGCTACAATTCCAGCCCTTCTTATTTTATTTTTAAACAGTCTAAGTTCTCCGGGCTGGCATTGACATTGCTACTCTTCCTGAAGAGTGGGGATAACAGGCACGTGCCACTGTACTTGGCTCCTCAGAATGTTCTAACAAAAGATGTATTTGACAGCTATAATCACTGTACAAACAGGTGCCATTCTGCCAAAGCCCGTTATATGCCAAGCCCCTGCTACAGTACCAGAAACACCAAGATGAGGAAACCTAGGTCAGGCAGCCATGGGCAAGGTGATAGCTAAGGATTCCACTGCCTGAGGTGAAAAATTTCAAGAAGCATTCCCTAGAAAGTTTTAGAGTCTTTCTCAGAGAAGAAGCATCAGATTATAATTGAAGATAACATTTCAAGTAAGTAAGATAGTCAAAAACCTTTCAATTTTATTTTATTTATATTTATTTTTTTATTTTTATTTTTGGCGGAACCAGGGATTGAACTCAGACCCTTGCGCTTGCCAAAGAAGTGCTTATTTCATTGAGCCATGTCCCCGGTCCCAACCTTTCCATTTCAGCCTATCAAATATTCTCACTGTAAAATCATATACAGTGCTAAAAATTAAATATTTTATAAAAGATATTAGCTATTGCCAAAAGTTCTAATTTCTAAATTTTATTGGCTTTCTTCACAAAATCTTTAAACTGTTGCCTGTTTTACTTTTCCTAACCCAAATTAAAATACCTTCCTGTTTTTCATCACTATAATAAAAATTTTAAAAGTCAAAGAGATCCCAATATAATGCAACTTTAGGGTTTGATACGACTTTAAAAGTAGAAAGAGATACCAGTAACTGCAAAAACAAAATGAGAAAAATTAATAATGTGATTAAGCTATTTAGCTTCTCAAAAAGTCTTTAAAGTTCACTGTAAGAAGTAGGAAAATAACTACTCCGAATCTCTTTTATTGGATGGAGGCTTCTCCAGGGTTCCCTGATATAGAGCTCTAGAGTATGGTCCAGGCATCATTTACAAGTGTGTGTGGCCTGCATCAAGCTTAATTTCCCCATGTCTGCTCCCCTATATTATCCCATATCTGAAGTGCCCTTCTCCACCCAAAACTCTCTTTACCATTCAGACGCAACTGCTAGGAACTTGACAACCTAAGTACCAAAAAGAATGATAGAGAACATAATATGCTAATGTCTATGTAGCGTTGGCTGTCTCAGGTATTCAGACACCACCAAATCAGCATGCTCTGTCGCCTTACAAAGACAGACAAATAAACATGGTTTTTGAAGAAATTCATAACTATACCAAGTATTTTAAAGATAGGTCGACAAATCCATATTTATACGATTTTGTAAAAAATGAAATCCTGTAAATAACATGCAAGCCAAATTCTACTTCATTTTATTTTCATTTTAAACACAAGTGAACTTCTCTAATTACCTGTTGTGTAAGACCGCTGAGTGGCCAAATCTGTTGACATCATGGTGGAGATCAGGTTTGGGAAGCACTGACCAACGGTCACAAGCTAGAAACAAGCAAAGCTCATTTTAGAAAATACTATCACTCATAATCAACAGGAACTGACATAGTCTTTGGGAAGAAGATGAAGTACAGCCTCAAAAAACACCTCCTGACTTTCTTAGTCATACAGTTACTCCTGAGGCACAAAGTGGCAGCAACAAAGCAGCAAGAAAGAAAGGCAGATCACATAGCTATGCTAATTCACAAATACATCCAATATTCATGATAAGACTGTCACTCACTCTATTACCTGTCCATTTTACCCTCTAGAATGTTTTAAGCAAATTTTGTACTCTACAAAGCTTGTTTGAATATAGTGGATTTCTCAATTATTTTCCAATCTTCTCTAGTCTGACTTGCTCAAACTTAAGCAGCTACCATGAAAAACTATCAATGAAAAATCCAAATATTTAAAACTGAAAATTTGTTTATTTATTTTATTTTTATTTTTTATTTTTTATTTTTTTGGGCAGAACCGGGGATTGAACTCAGGCCTTTGTACTTGCCAGGGAAGTGCTTATTCCACTGAGCCATCTCCTCAGCCCCTAAATATACAGATAGTATATATTGGCGGAACCGGGGATTGAACTCAGGCCTTTGTACTTGCCAGGGAAGTGCTTATTCCACTGAGCCATCTCCTCAGCCCCTAAATATACAGATAGTATATATTGGCGGAACCGGGGATTGAACTCAGACCTTTGCGCTTGCCAGGCAAGCACTTATCCTACCGAGTCACCTCCCTGGCCCTAAAAACGAAAATTTAATTTTTAAAAAGTTCTTCCCTAGATCCCCTAGGGTTATTGATTTTCCTTTGTGCTGACCCATGCCAGCAACTTCTCTTCTATACCTTATGCCAGGGGGTGCTTGCACCCCACACCACCCTCATACTCACTGTCTCACTCTGAGACATGCACTGAGCACTTCTCCATCCAAACTGTCTTTCAATTCTGAGAATAACAGCCTTCATGGCCTTCTCCTAGCAGCTTCAGTTCTGACTTCCTCACAGGGGGAACACAGGCCACAACTCCCTAGCTTCTGGCCTACCCAATTTGCTTCCTTCCCTGAAACCACAGTGTTGCAGGATCCCTCCTGTTCAGAAAGATGCTTACCTTGAATGTATACCATCTCTCCTTTTTTTTTTTTTCATAATCTTATTGAGAAACAAATAGCAATGAGACAGTTTCAAACCAAATTGGTAGGACAGTTTCAATAATTAACACATTGCATACATTCTTCCTAATGGTTAATTGCTGTACAAGATACGGACTTGATATCCTATTTACAAACAC